AGTCGGGAATAAGGGAATATACTCCCTATATAATCCTATATTGCGTAAGAATCCACAGCAAGTAGCATTGAACCACCCAACGTCTAAATAATGAATGCTCACCTAGTACCTAAGAATGCATCGTAGCGAAACTTATGAACCCCTGAAACCTCTAACGTAGAAGCCGGAAAAAAATACCAATAATTTTTATGGTCTTAGATTTCTTGTGCAGATATGGTATAGGGTATCTATTCAGGCCCAATAACCATAAACCCCTGAACCCTACACCCTGCCCTAAACGCTAAACCCTAAACCCTAATTAAGCCCTAAGCCCGCTGAACTCTAAGCCCCCTAAACCCCAAATTCTTAGCCCTAAACCCGCTAAATCCCCTAAACTAAAACCTAAACCCTAACTCCCCTAAACCCGAAAACCCGTAAGCCAAGGCTCCCAGCCAGTCCGACTGCGTGAGCAGGCGGTAATTCTATGTCAGCGCGCGCACCATCCATGTCTATGATGTGCAGTCTGTCGGAGACCCTCCTTCTAGGTTTCCCAGTAACCCTTTAATTGTAATGATAGGGTATAATAGGATTTAGGGTTTAGGGTGTACCTAGCCTGTTAAATGGGTTTCCGAAACTTTGGCGTCCCGGCTTCAGGTGTCCCCACCGCAAGGAGTGATCAGTATTTTGGGGAGCTAGATTTCAAGGGTACCCAAAGTTGGGAGGTTCCCTTTTTGGGATGACACCTTGTTCTTCCTCTTCTTTCGGGGAGTGACTAGCGTAGGACAAGTTTAAGGTCCAGGGGTTCAAGCTTTGAGAAGTGGGACAGAGAGACCCCGGAAGATCATACAAACAGTTGAGCAGGTCTTACTGAGGTCCTACTGCATCCTCATCCGCAACCCCTCCATTAATGACTCAGATCCTTGCGTGGAAGCAGTTGTAGCTCTCGTTTCTGCGTGGCCGCTTGATGGTCACCCGCCTTGGGCGTGCTTTGGTCGTAGCATTTTTCAGGAAAATTCAGTAGTGGGTCAAACCAAAGAGCGCCCACAAACCCTAATAATCCGCATGCAGCCTAATTTGCCGAGTATGGTCTCACTCCTTGCGGTTTCCAGCCTAGTCCAGGGCCCACCATTACAAACCAACGCCGTGCACGATGCCAAAGATCGTGGCACACTACTTTTTTTGAACAGTTGGCATGCACCCACAGAACACTGGGCATAAGGAAAATTCACACTTTGGCACTTTAGTACATTACTATCTGCACACATGTGTACATAGATGTATATACGGACAGTGCGAAGCGAATCCAAGCAGCTTAGTGGTCTTCTCTCGGCGAACGCTCTGATGCTTGGCACAAATCCTGGCCACCAGCATCTCGGTAACGACCAGGGAGCCCTCCGCGTGATTCCTGATGGGCCTGGTGTAGGGATCACCGGGCGCAGGCACCTCTGACACGTCATCCGCGTCAACGCCTGTTTATGGGATCCGTAAATGGGGTAGTACTCGCCCGGGACACAAGGCCTTCAGATTAAAAACCCGCAACTCCCTGGACAGACCCATCTATATCCCAACCTGTCCGCTGCACCACGGCATCCGCTACCCCACGGAGTTGAGGGTCTGATTTCGCCTGTCGGGCGATCTCAATCCATGCATTCTTAGGTTGTTCGATTTCCCCAATGCGCTCACGCAGGCCGTGTATTGCACCAGAGACCGTGTTCACATCACCGCCGTCCGCTCCGATGTGGCCTCGGATGACCACAATGCTCGGTAACGGCTCCCCACGCGCTGCCTTCTCGGACAGCTCCTTGATTTGAGTGTTGGCCTCAAACAAGCTGATGATGCGGTTGGCCTCCCGCTGGTACTTGATCAGGGAGTACACCGCATAGAAGAAGACGAGGACACCGGCTGAGATGCCTACGGGATCCGGGTGAGCTCTCCATGCGTTGGCATCTGGATGACTTCGCCGATGGTCTCTGAAGGGTGAATCTAATCCTGGAGCTCTCCGTGACAAACGTGAATACTTGGAGCAAACAACATGTTTTCGCGATTGGATCTTAAAATCCCGAAAAGTTCTATAGCGCATCAAGGAGCTCACGAAGTCTACCAACAAGTATATGCCTTATCGTCAGACCCTGCAAGAAGTCCCTCATCTTGAACACGAACTGCATGTGTCACCCCACACCTGTGGGAGTAGCCTGAAAAGCATTCACTCCCCTGTGGTGTTTCATCCGGTCATATCGATAAGACAACCAACCCCAGAGAACGGTAACCCCTCAATCGCAACCTTAACTCTTCGACCGATAGACGTTGATCTGTACATAGGTGTTTGTATGCATAGTAGGGTCTTTGCAAACGCTGCCGAAACAGTGGTTGCACATCCCCGGCTGACTTTCATCCCTGGAATCCTGGAGCCCGCAGTGTTTCGATCTCTTCCTGGACACTTTGAAAGCCAGCGACTTGCTGCTCCAGGAGTGGTGGTCGTAGATCCTTGCTCAGCAGGATTTGTTTTGTGATGCTGGTGGTGCGTGTGGCGGTGGCAATGACAGGGGGGGGGGGGTGTGGCACGGGGCGAAGTGGCAGTTTCAGGGCGGCATTGGCGTCGCGTTGCTCGTGCTGGAGTGCGAGCGGTGGGAGTAGCAGCGGTAGTAGCGTGGCGGTAGCAGCAGCAGCAGCAGCAGGAGGAGTATGTGCAGCGGCAGGAGGAGTATGTGCAGCAGCACGAGTAGCGACAGGAGTATGAGTTGGAGTAGCAGTAGGAATAGGGTTTGGAGCAGGAGTTGGAACAGGAGTAGGAAAGAAAAGTGCAAGTAGTGGGGATTGGTGACGTAGGAGGAGAAGCAGTAGTATCAATAGCATGCTGGCGTGAAGTCTACACCACAGGCAAGCTTCGACTCCACCGCTTGCAGGCCTGGGCAATGTCTGCACCCATTGCCTTTCTGGTAAACAAGATGTTCTGGAGGGCATGGGAGGTCAGGTGTAGAATTTAGGAACATGTTCTACTCAGTTTTTCGGCATGCCACAACCCAAAAACTGAAAACGGGAGTACTCCTCTGGGCCCCTAACCGCCCCAAAACCCTATTCCCGACACCCTTCATCCTAATCGCTAGACCTTGCCTTAGGAGGTCTGGTGGGCTCAAGGATGACGCCACCAATATCTGCAGCTGTACTAGGAGCGCAAAGCGCACAGGGCGCACCTCCATGCTCCTGGGTCATTCTTGGGACAATGCAGGGGGCTCTTCACTTAGGGTGAGCTTCGGGGGCATCGCAGTATATGTATGAAGTAGAATACGTCCCCAAAACCTGAAGGAAACAGGATTAGTAATCCTTCAAGCCGTTACATTACCAGAAGGTTGAACGTCGGCCCCTCGCGCAGGCCCTGAGACCTTCTCTGGGAGAGCGGGGAGGGGTTGGCCACGAGGCCTTAAAAAGAGTGGCGGTATGGCACGGTCAAAGAGGGGTTGATGACCAAGTCAGGAACACTACTGGAAGGACCAGAGCACCGAGTGAATAATGAAGGGTAATTGAGGATACTAACGCGCTTGGCCTAAACCCTAAACCCTAAACCCATAACCGTGTGGGTTAGTTCCATGTTGGGCTTTTGGGCCGAAACCAGGAAAATGCTTCTGAACATTGCTCTGGGCACCGTGACTTGGAACCAAGTCTTCAAAGGCTGATAAACACGATGTTCAGTCTCGGATAGGAATCCTGGATTCTTGTTGAAATACAATTAAAAAAAGATCTTTTTTCTTTTTTTAATTGATATTGGGCCCAGGTATCCATAAACATGAAAAATCTTGTTCTACAAGAGCCCAGAATCATCCACAACCGGTTAGTGCTGAACGCACTAAAGGCCCTCTGCCAGGGGGTTCTTGGACCAGGGCTCGGCGACCATGAAGAACTTACTTCATGGGTTCCCCTACTACCCCCCGTATACTGACCCCCCCGCAGGTTCCCCCTTAATTAACCTTAATTAAGCCTAGTTATCCCTAAGTAGCTTTAATTAAGGGGCCCATGATAACTAGTGGTTAGCAGAGGATGGAACGGATCTCTACAGCAGTCAGGAATCCCTACATAACCCAGTTTCCATTTCCCTTTCTATTCCTTCATGGGTTCCCCGCAATAAGGATTAGCATACTGGGGTCTCTATTGAGGTCCCCTGATTGTGGGAAACTACCATCATAAGGACCCCATAGTGTTCAAATTATGGTCTGATAACCATGGAGTCCTTGTTTTTAGTGGGCTAGGGTTTCGGGTTTAGGTCGGGTGACGCAAATACAGTCAACACTCATGTATCAATGAATACGACACCGCCTATCCAACTGTGAGCTCCGACCCCGGAATGAAACGCCTATGAACACCAAGCCCTCAATCCTGCATGCCCACTGCCACCCTAAACGGAGATTTTGTTGTTTAGGGGTTTCCAGTTTCGAGACGAAATAAAAAGCCCTGCGGGCCATAATCCGATTACTGAATCTGAAACTCAGCCTTTTCCTACCCGTAACATCCGCCAGTAGTTGTACTAATAATAACTGTCATAATAATGCGAAAAAGAGAAACTGAAATACCACGGCTATTAGTAGAAATACTGCCCTATATGCTAAGCCCTACATTCAAACCTGTAGTAGCTGTAGCAGTCGTGGAAGTGCAAGGCAGATCGTCCCCGGGTGCAACGGCAACGTCGGTCCTTGCGTTGAACGGCGCCTTGGATGGAACGTGGGGACCCTAAACCCCTAAATCCTGAGCCCTATATACTTCATGAAGGATTATATGAGGATGAACTTGAGACACTCCCATATTGTGTCTCAGCAACCAAACTTAAAAGTCTGAGGGCCGTTTGGATAAAGCAAGCTTCCGGCCTCAAAGCTGGGTTTAGGGAGTAGTTTAAGGCTTTCGGGTTTGGGGTTTAGGACTTAGGGATTAGGGGTTAAATTTCGTATTCAGACCCAAAGAAGGAGTTACCTGACTTACTGCTCCCATCGTGGTGGACGGGTATATCTGGTATGAAGATTTTGGTAGCACCATTCCCCAAGACTGGGACCCACTTACTATCCTGGCTATACGTCCTCGCATGAATCTTCTACTGGCAGGAAACCATACATCATGTATTGGGATTGGTGCCAGCAGGGCTTTCCAGGCAAATAGGGAGTTCTCAAAAGGAAGGGTGTGCCCTCAGGATCCCCATGAGAGTGCATCTATATGCTGGATTGGGGTAAGTCAAACATAAATTTGATAGGGTTCACAAAGCTCACACATGTGTGCGGGGCTGCAACTGAATACCAATCACCTAGCGGGGCTGCAAATGAAGACCAATCACCTTGCTTGCTGGGGGTTCAATAGGGAATACGGGAATAGAATATTGGAATAACATAGGGAGTATATTCCCTACTTCCCTTCTAACTACCAGTGAGAATAGCCATCAGTTCCTGAGCCTCGAAATAATGTCCTCCGGCTAAGGATACATGTCCTCCAGAAAGATCGACATCTGATTGATTTTGCAGATGCAGTATAATTGCAGCTTCCATGTGCTTTCACACTTTCCCTTCTGATTGTCCAACTATTGGGATGAAATCCCTGAGCCCTATATGGTAGTTTCCCAAAATGAAGGGACCCCAATATAGACCCAAAAGTACTATAATCCTTATTATGGGGACCCCCAATAAGGTACCCCTAATTTTGGGAAACCCTCATATAACACGAAAGTTGGCTCCAAAGCTTGCGAGTTGCATATTCATGTGCCAAGTACATGACCCGAACGTCGTCTTCAAGTTACCCTTGACATTCAACCAAAATTCGAACATGCACCACTTATATGGGTGGTTGTCGAAATTATGGTCCCTTTTTGGATCCCTATTATAATACGACCCCTAATATTTAGGGTACCCAAAAGGGGACCATAATTTTGACAACCACTTATATGAGGTGCTTGCACCAGCTAGCAGTCATGATTCTTGCTGGTGTCAGAATGAATCGGGGCATCCAGGCCGCGGCACACAGCGAACCTACTTATCCACACTCGTTCCAAACGGTAGCTCCATTTTGAGCCCAGTAAACCCTCAATCCTGAACAGCGTTTCCATACACAAGTGCCATCCAAAATTTTGACACTGGGTCCAGATGATCCCCACAATGACAGCGCAGCCTAGTTACATACAGACTCCTTCGGAGACCGATGCGCTCTTGCTGCGGTGTGAAAGCCTCCCCATGCATGCCTCCACGTGAGGGATTGGGACTTTGGGGATTCGGCCGTAGGTTTAGAGGTAGGGGGTTCAAGGTTGAACATGGGCATCAGACTTAGACTTGAGGGCTGGGTTAGGTTTGTGGGCTTGGGGCTTAAAACCCTAAACCCAGGATTCAGGCATGAAGCCGGTGAACTGTAGCAACCCAAATATACTATAGTAGTTCCCATTTTCTTCTCTAAATTATTCCTATATAACCCCAATAAAACCCCAATGTAAACCCTGTAAACTACCCTATAATCCCAGTTAATACAAGGCCTCTAGCTTTGGAGGTGACAAGTGGATGCTGCATTTTGGCGTCTTGTGGCTTTCTAGATCTCAATGAGTGGCTTTAGCTCTTGGGTAAGGGGACTCTACTGGGAACCCCAAACCGGACCCCCAAGAATATAGTAGGTATATAATAGGAATATACCTACCAGGGTCCTTAAATTCCACTATATTCCTGCTAAATTCTTGGAGTTCCCTATTTGGGGTTCCCAGTAGAGGCCCTTTATTGGGCACTTCATCTTATCTACGAGCAGACAATGAAACTTACTGGCTGTTAGCAAGGAATAAGGGAACAAGTTACACAGGGATCATAATGACAATATTCCTTATTCCCTACCTAACCACAAGTAAGGAAACTATAGCAGGACAATTCAAAATGAAGACTTCAGAAACTAGAACCGAAACCTGAAATCCTAAACTTTGTACCCCATACCCAACATGGTAGCTTCTCAAAATTAGGGGACCCCAACATAGTCCCCCAAATACTATAGTCCTTACTATAGGGGCCCCTAGGAAGCTCTGAGATCACCAATAACTGAGCCTCCCCCCGACCTTTTTGTAGGAATCCGAAGGTGCTGCAA